TTTGATTTTAGGGGTAGCAAAAACCCCAAAATTTATGCAGATCAGTTATGACCTATATTGAAGATGTCCGGGGTCCTATTTGATAACTACTATAGTAACTTACCAGTAACTTACTGTAATTTACCATAGTAACTTACAATTAAATTACTACTACTTCGACGATTATTTTTTAAAACAGAATACAACAATATCAAATAGCATATCTCAGTAGGCCCAGACTAATAATTAGAAAAAATCCAATGGGTTTGATACATCATTGGTAAAAATAAAAATTTGAATACTATTTAATGCATCATTCAACTTATCACATGACTTCACAAATATAAATGTCCGTAAAGATATATGATAAGTTGAATAGCACATGTTGAATAGTATTCATTAATGAGAAAGTCTCTGGATACTTATCAATTTGCACCTATCTAGTTAGTGTTAGAGTTAGAGTTTTTTTATAATTGGTTGATTTATATTTGGTAGGTATAAAAATCATGTATTGGTAGGTGTCCGAAAACTCTTTCTTTATTGATATATTGAATTTTTATCTTAAAGACACTCAGGTTCAATAACTATTCTTATTCAAATATTGATTAAAATCAGTTATTCTTCTCTAAATACTAATGCTAATGCTAATGCTTATGCTTATAGTTATTCTTGCCTATATACAGATAATTATTCTTCTCTGAATTTTGGTACTAAAAACTTGTCCAAATGTTAATACTAAAGCATATTTATTTTTATCCAACTATTGGTGCTAAAGTTATAATATTTTTGCCAATATTAGTGCAAAGGAATAATTATTCTTGCCCGAATATTGACTTTAAAGCTGTATATTTTAATATATTAAAGAAAATGAATAATAATATTTTTGCTTGAATATTGATATTAATATGCAAAATATGTATTTATGATTAATGCAAGTTCTGTGATTATTATTATTTGTATTCAAATATATATGACATACAATGATATATATCATTAATATATTAATAGAATAATCCAAAATTAGCAAGATCAGGTAATAATTGAATATCTTTCCATTAGAGTTCAAGGTATAATCAGAAATATTTCTAAGTTTGAACGATTTTTATAGAATACTCTAATTATACAATTATCGTTATATGTTCTGTTAATTATTATTTTGAGCTTTTTTTTTTTTTAAGACTCTTGGATATCTTTTTTAAACTAAATAGTCGATTGGCATTTTTTTTGTTATCAAAATAAAAGATCTGTTATTCGATATCAAAAATTTTTCTTGTTTTTTATGTTAAAGGCCAAAATTATTGACTTACAAATTTTATATAAATTGTATATACTACATCTTTAATTTGTTTTAATCATGTTTTAATAAAATGCATAAAGATTATTTACTAATCGATGTAATATAATTTTTAAGTTCATGGATCTTAATTATTTTGTGATATCAATACTCTTTAATTCGTTTTTATTTTGTATAATTTAGTTAGTTAGAATAGTGATTATTTATTTATTAAATGGAGGTATTTTCAATTTTTAGATTTTTAAAATTGCATATTCTCATAAATAAAAGTATAAAGATTAATTAATTTATTATTTTGTAAGCAATTCAAGTTTATAGCTTATTAATATTCAATTTTGGAATCATTCATATGGGCTCATTTTCAGAATTGTACTAAAAGATATATAATTTGATATTTTTAAAACATTGAATAACTTTTGATATACTAGTTCGTTTTGGATGAAACAACTATCAAAATGTTCGTCTTAATGAGATGAACATTTTGATAGTTGTTTTATCCAAAACAAACCAGTATATCAAAAGTTATTCAATGTTTTAAAAATGTCAAATTACGTATCTTTTAGTACAATTCTGAAAATAAGCCTATATATTAGATGCATATAATAAAGATCTTTATAACTCTTGTGCGCTTTTAATATTTTTTATTAAAAAATGTGATTAGAACATGAAAAAATTTACATAGATATATTTAAGATTAAATAATTATTACAACATTTCTGCGATCATCTGCTATTCCAATCATTCGTAAAATTGAGACATGTAAATTAATACAGAAACAACCAAGTTACATCCCAATTATTCTCAGTCTCTTATTACTCTGTTGTTACTTCTAATTTTTAAAAATCAATTTTCATGTGTTATTTATACTATATGTCTTTGATATTAGGTTAGCTAGAATATGAATAATATTAATAAAATACATTAGTAAATAAAGGTTGTACAGTAATATAATTTTTACAATAACTAGTAACAGAATTTTCACAGTAACTTAAATCATGATAGTCCCAATACAAACCAATTCAACTCTAACCAAAATACTATATTGTCTGCACTTATCATTATAGTGTTTAATACCAAAGATAGATTTGATCCCAATTGTGTTACTGGAATAACTAGTAATAGTTATTATTAATTGCTGTGTTAAAGAAACATTATTTTTATTATTTGTGTTTAAATATATATAACATAACAATGATACATATCATATTTATTAATTAAATTAATCAAATATTCCAAAATTAGCAAGTTCAAGTAACAATTAAATATTTTTCTATTAGAGTTCAAGTTTCAGAATATATGTGATCTATAGAATACTCTAATCGTACAATTATCATTATACACAGTGTTTTATTAATTATTGCTTTTAGATATCTTTTTTAGACTAATTAGTCGATTAGTGTTTTTTTTTATTTGATATTAAAAATTTTCCTTGTTCCTGATATGAGAGAATTTTACTTACTATAAATTGTATATACTATACTATGCCTTTAATTTGTTTTAATCACAATTAATAAAAGTATAAAGATTATTTATTAATCAATACAATATAATTTTCAAGTTCATAGATCTTAATTATTTTCGATATCAATACTTTTAATTCATTTTATCTAGTTAATTAGAATAGTAATTATTTATTAAATGACATCATTCAATTTTCAAATCTTTAAAGTTGCATATTTTTATTGAATTAAGTAAAAGCATAAAAATCAATTAATTTATTCATAAAATTATTTAGTAAGCAATTCAAGTTTATAGTCTATTATCATTCATTTTTGTTGAATAATTTAGATATATAAAGATTCTTATTTTATCAAAACATCTCCTTGATTGAGTTTACAAATAATCTAATTAGCTAAAGAAATTAAGAATAATTCAGACTATAATTTTTTTATAAGATTATTTAGTCAAATTATAATTTTCAATGCAGCACAATATTTTTTCAATTATGTTGAATTAGCTAAAAATTCAAAAAAAGTATTACTCAAATTCATAATCCTTAATGTAACACAATATCTTTTTATTTTCATTGTATTAAAAGGCTAAAAATCTTTGATTTTGTTCATGTAGTTCAATGTATTTAAAAAAAAATATTTTTACAAAGAAATGAATAACAAATAAGCGAATCTATTTCTCATTTAGAAAGTATAAAAGTAGAGTTGTTAACTATAATTTAATTTTATTTGTATCATAAAATATAAAACATAAAATAAATGAACAAATGAATGATCAAGAAATTGAAGATTATACTCATGATGAGAATACTCATGATGAGGATTATATTCCTGATGAAAATTTTACTTATGATGAAAATGATGAACCAGTATTTAGTAGTAATGAAATAGCTAACTCTACTAATTCCACTCCAGTATCAACTAATCAGTTAGATGAAAGCCCTGTGTGGCTACATTTTGAAAGAAGTTCTGACTATGCACCAGACTCTAATGTCTGCAAATATTGTACTCCTAAAAAAAATATAAATTAACAACTAGCATATTATCTTTAAGATCTCATATTATAAATATACACAACTTGGAGATTCCTTTACTAAAAAAATATAATAAAGCTATAAAAAACATAAATTTATTTAATTTGCAAGAACAAAATGAATATACAAAATACCTTTTGGAGTAGCTGATATGCGATCTTTAATCGTTTGCAGTTGTCGATAACAGCTACTTTCAAGCATTCATTAATTACTTTTGCCCACGTTATTTTATTCCCAGACAACATAAAGTAAAAAATTTAATAATTAATATATTTAATAACTGGCGACTTAAAGTTGCAGATGAACTTAGTAAAATTCATAGAAAATGTTTATTAATAGCTAATGTTTGGACCTTAACTGTTAAACAAAAGGCTTTTTTAGGACTTATAGCAACCTTGATTGGCAACTAAAAAATTTTTTACTTGATATTATTCCATTTAATATTAGTTATTCAGGTGTAAATATTACACAAGCAATTTTAAAAGTTTTAATTGATGATCCGGATAAGATCGGCATAATTACTATATTGGGACAATAGTAAATTTTGGGGATAAGTACAATA